CAAAAGCCTTGGATGAATCAATAAACAATCAAAAGCCTTGGATGAATCAATAAACAACCAAAAGCCTTGGATGAATCAATAAACAATCAAATGCCTTGGATGAATCAATAAACGGAGCACAGCAACCCTTTCTAGATTCCAGTGCCTCAAACATTATTTAAAACTTTTAGAGCAGCAGTTGCTGTGCTGTTTCCTAAAACCAGACTGAAAAGGGTTTAAAAGATTATTTGTTTCTAAGAATTCTTTCAGTTGATCACAGAACAACTTTTCAAACACTTTTGCTTAAACAGTTAATTTACAGATGGGTCTATAATTGTTCACGATTGACGGCTCACCTCATTTTAATAATGGAAGAACCAATGCAGATTTCCAGACTTCAGGAACTTTGTTTGTGATAAGGCTTAGATTAAAAATACAAGTTAAAGGCTCATCGATCAAATCAGCAACTAGTTTTAGAAAGAAAGGTTCCAGACCAGTCCAAGCAACATGCGGCTCGGGTGGTCGCTGAGGCAAAAACTCGGGCATGGGAGGAGTTCGGAGAGGCCATGGTGAACGACTTCCGCACGGCTTCGAGGCCATTCTGGTCCACCATCCGGCGTCTCGGGGGGGAAAGCGGTACGCCACCAACACTGTTTATAGTGGGAGTGGTGTGCTGCTGACCTCAACTCGGGATGTTGTGGGTCGGTGGGCGGAATACTTTGAAGACCTCCTCAATCCCACCGGCACGTCTTCCACTGAGGAAGCGGAGCCTGGGGACTCTGGGTCGGGCCCTCCAATCTCTGGTGCTGAGGTCACCGAGGTGGTTAAAAAGCTCCTCGGTGGTAGGGCCCCGGGGGTGGATGAGATTCGCCCAGAGTTCCTTAAGGCTCTGGATGTTGTAGGGTTGTGTTGGCTTACACGACTCTGCAATATTGCGTGGACATAGGGGGAAGTTCCCCTGGATTGGAAGACCGGGGTGGTGGTCCCCCTATTCAAAAAGGGGAACCGTAGAGTGTGTTCCAACGACAGGGGAATCACGCTCTTAAGCCTCCCTGGTAAGGTCTATTCGGGGGTTCTGGAGAGGAGGGTCCGTCGGATAGTCGAACCTCGGATTCAGGAGGAGCAGTGCGGTTTTCGTCCTGGCCGTGGAACACTGGACCAGCTCTACACCCTCAGCAGGGTCCTGGAGGGTGCGTGGGAGTTTGCCCAACCAGTCTACATGTGCTTTGTGGACTTGGAGAAGGCATTTGACCGTGTCCCTCGGGGGACGCTGTGGGGGGTACTCTGGGAGTATGGGGTACCGGGCCCTTTGATACGGGCTGTTAGGTCCCTGTATGACCGGTGTCAGAGCCTGGTCCGTATCGCCGGCAGTAAGTCGGGCTTGTTCCCGGTGTGAGTTGGACTCCGCCAAGGTTGCCCTTTGTCACCGATTCTGTTCATAACTTTTATAGACAGAATTTCTAGGCGCAGCCAAGGTGTTGAGGGGATCCGTTTTGGTGGCCTTAGGATTGCGTCTCTGCTTTTTGCAGATGATGTGGTCTTATTGGCTTCATCAGATCATGATCTACAGCTTTCGCTGGAGCGGTTCGCAGCCGAATGCGACGCGGCCGGGATGAAGATCAGTTCCTCCAAATCCGAGGCCATGGTCTTGAGCCGGAAAAGGGTAGAGTACCCTCTCTGGGTCAGGGAAGAGGTCCTGCCCTCATCTATGGTCTCGAGCTGTGGGTTGTGACCGAAAGAATGAGATCTCGGATACAAGCGGCCGAAATGAGTTTTCTCCGCAGGGTGTCTGGGCTCTCCCTTAAAGACAGGGTGAGAAGCTCGATCATCCGGGAGGGACTCAGAGTAGAGCCATTGCTTCTCCACGTCGAGAGGAGCGTTGAGGTGGCTTGGAAATCTGGTTAGGATGCCTCCTGGACGCCTCCTTGGTGAGGTGTTCCAGACACGTCCCACCGGGAGGAGACCCAGAGGAAGACCCAGGACACACTGGAGGGACTATGTTTCTCGGCTGGCCTGGGAAAGCCTCGGGATTCCCCCGGAGGAGCTGGACTATGTGGCTGGGGAGAGGGAAGTCTGGACATCCCTACTTAGGCAGCTACCCCCACGACCCGACCCCGGATAAGCGGAAGAAAATGGATGGATGGATGAATACTGTATCATACAATGCAGCCACACAGTGCAGCGGCAATAAACATATTAGTTGTCACAGATGTTGATGTTGTAGCTGTTTTATACTGTAGTACTTTGAGATTGTAAAATGTAAAGTGCAGTTCAAATTGAATAAATCATCATTATACAGTAAATGTAGATAACGTAAATGTTTAACATCTCATTAAAATACACCAAAATGCAAGAAATTGCACCTACATAATGCCAAAATTTTAGGCGGAGGACCCTCAGACCCCCCTGCCAGCCTTCCTGTTATTTGCATTTTATTTGAATCGGTTTACAAATTAAGCCCTGAATATACCGTATATTACACTATTACTGTTTAGTGTATTTCTTAGATCCTTGTATACAGTTTATTTTTATACTTTATACTTTTGTTATTTTTGGGTGTAACTGGGACCGTGACAACACAATTTCGTTTCACCTCATGTACCACATGTGATACGGATGACAACAGAGAACCTTGAAGGTGAACAGTTACCTAAAGGAAAGCTGCTGAGTTGTGGCAGACCGTTGATGTTTGCATTGATTCTGATCAAAGCTTCGTCCAGTCTCTCTCCATCAGCCTCTAAATCAGCCGTTTCCTCCAGAACACACAGGAACAGCTGAAGAACAAAACCTCATACTGACTCAATTTTATCAATCAGCATCAACAACAGATAATATTTACAGGTTGAGTAATCACAGAACTCCTATATTAATCAATCTAATTTGAACAGTATGTGATCAGTTGGCGGTAAGTTTCAATACATGTGAAGTTAGCAGATACCTCATTAGGAGTCCGCAGATGTTTAACTCTGACTTTAAAGCGTTCTCCTTCCTGTGGCAGGTTTGGGTGAACAAAGGGACCCAGCAATGGCTCCTCTGGGCCCATTAAGCCCTGAAAGCACAGAATCTGCAGCAGTCTTACACTAAAATGTTCCAAGACTTCACAAACGAGCAACTCTCAAGCCCCGTCCACACTACTTTTGATATAAAAATGAAATTCAGATTTTTTTTCAATAGTGGTTCTGTGGCTATTAATTTTTGATCTAAAAAGGAAACTGTTGATAAATATTTTTTAAGAAAGTGTTTTGAAAGAAATTTCAGCACATTCTTTCTGTATTTTTTTTTATACATTATTATTGTGGACATTCTTGCCATCTGGTTGCATGGTATGGGTGTTTAAGAGTTTTGCTTTCAAATGTCTGGGCCATAATTCTTTGTACACAAAGAAAATATGTTTTAACCGTCAGATGGTCTTTTAACATTATGATAGTTTTCTTTTGGGTGGGGGGATGGGGGGTTCTACCTGGATTACTGAGCATGCATCAGGAAGGCCCTTTAGGCTTTGTCAAAAAAAATTTATTGACTGCACCAAAATGAAAAAGAAATAAAACAGAAAAAAACGAATGCGTGGCTGAGGGGACCCCCCACACCCCCCCCCCCCACAGAGACCTTCTGAGGGTTAAAAATGTACAGAGAAGTGTAGACAGGACCTGGGATTGTGTTCACACCTGAAAGCAAAATGCACTGAGACTGACTGAGGCAGCAGCTGGAGGACTGCTGGCGGCTGATCGACTTTCTTAGTCCCAGTGAACCATCTGAGCCTTATAGTATAGTGTATATACATATATATACACTATACTATAACATACTACTGAGCCTTAT